TGTTGCAAAGGAAACACGAATAAATGGAAACACTAGAAAAGGAGAGGGGGGAGGGGAGTCAAAATATCGGTATGAGCGAGTGGCTGGCTTAAATAGAGTTAAGATGATTTTAACAAAGAAAATGAAATATTAGAAATGTTAGGACCCATAATTTAAGAAGTAAAAGTTACTGATTATTCCAGTAATGACGGATTTTTTAAATTTTGAGAAACTAACTTTTATTAGGGTATGTTGGAAGCCCAGTACCATAACGGGGATGCGGTACTGGTTTTTCCACACATCCTAATAAAAAATCTGAAGAAAGGAAGCGTTTCATCCTCACCCTCTCGCCCCTTAACACTACTTCTGTCAGTTACCTCCGCCAAACTTAAACTCTTAGTTACTTGCTCTTCCACCCTTCAACAAGAAGAACAAAAATCATCAGTCATCGAAAAACAGCTGTGTTATTTTCTGAGGAATGTAATGAGATCTTAGAACGATTGTCGAAGTCTGCAGCAACCGTACTTAGATTCCCAAGATCCATCTGGCAACTGACATGAGAAGTGGGTAGGGGAGGGAACTTTCAAAATTTGTATGAGTGAAATGCTGACAGCAATTCAGGGCATAGAGTTTACTAGTTTCACAGTTGAAAAGTCAGACTTGTGTCCTATGGAGTTCCGAACCCTGAAATTACTGGTGGTATTTCCACGTTCGTGTAAGGATTATATTCTCGTAGAATCATAAATCTCATTTGCTTTGGTATACATAAAATATGCACAGCATATCGATCGCCAGCGTCATTTATTTAGCATAATCTGGAGAGAGAACGAAAAGGAGCGGAGGATGGAAGTAGCGCAGGTATATGGCTACCCAGAAATGCCCTATTAATAAATATTATTAGCTTTTAATGATTTTTTGACTCGCGTTGAGTTAGTTGTAAACAAACAGACAAACAGGGCTGGTACTGATTCCAGTACTGATTTCATTAGGTTTTTGATAAGAAATGCAGAGTTATTGTAAATTCAGTAACCGGAGGAGAAAGAAAAGGAGCGGGTGAGGTAGCGCAAATTATAACTGAAGGAAAAAAAAAAGAACGAAAAATTTTTGAAAAATGTGAAAATTGATTGCATCTTAATAGAAGATTCAACAGGATCCTCAAATTAATTTCTCAAATTACCATGATCGCTTAGATTGGTGATCGTTAATATAAGGTTAAAAGTAAGAAGTATCAGAAATCTTTTAGGGGCCATAGTAGGCAGTAAATTTTTGCTGCGTATTAGCATGATTAATTCCTCATTCTGTTTTTTTTTAATATCAAAATTCGCATGCTTACACTTATATGCTTGTGTTGTTTCTGTGAGCAGCAACAGCTTCAGCTATACTAAATTACCCTTCGCCGCTCTCTCACACACTGATCCCTCATTTGCTCCAGCTTAATCCCCCACTAGTTCTTATACCCTTTGAATAAGCCCATGCGCGTTGAACTCGTACCATAACATCACCAGGATCTAGTTTTTAGATTTCAGGGCGACCTCAGACAACAAACAAACCAGTAAACTCTATCTGGTACCAAAAAACTAGGCCTGACATCTCGAAAAAAGGCTAGACCTAGCACCTGTCTCGATGGTACCAAGTCACTAGCTACGCCTAGTTATTACGAGGCCTTTCTGTATTGAATCTCTACTTTCAGCTTTTACCTGCCATCCGCACCATGAGTGTGCGCCATCCCTTTCGAGCCTTCTTAAGTAAGTTGTCCCTTCAGAAGCCTTCCAAAAAATTCACCGCCTCATAGGCCTCATTTATACCGATTTCAAGTAGGATCAGCAGAGTTTCCTGCGCTGCAAATTTCCGTATGATAATTACTAAAATCAACCTGTTATTGAAGAATGGTTTCTGTAAGATATTGAGTGTTTGTCGCTGCTGTGATTTTGCGTAATAAGTGCATAAATTTTCCTCAAAAAATAAAGTTTTTCAGTACTTCCCTCTGGATTTGCATGTTCCGTTTTGAGGAGGTCATATAAAAAGTCAAAATTCAGCCATTCGCTAACATGGCTATCGCTGGCTCCCTCTTTTGATAGTGGCACTGTGGTAAGCTAATGGAGGATTTAACTTTCTGGAATACGCCAATACCAATTCACTGTCGAAAAGAATGAACAAAATATTGAAGGGATGGGCAAAATCCTTGACCCCTGTGTCTACCAGCTTTCAAGTCGAATTCGCAAAGATTCCTAAGAAAAAGTACTTGAGAAGGAAATGTCTGAAATTTGGTTTTATGAAGTGAAATTCCTGTTAGAAGTTAGTGAGAAACATTATTGCAGATTTCCTCACTTTTTGTAAACCTATTATTTAAAGTAGTGAGATAAATGAGTTCCCTAACAGATGTGATAGTTTAATGTGATCAGTGATTGATTTGCATGAACATGTAGAATTTCAATCGAGCAAACATCATCACCATCATCATAACCATCATCCAAAGATTTTCGCTTATATTCCAGAACAGTCAACAATTGTTGTTCTTTTCAAAAATCCCTTATTTTCCTCATTTAACATTTCCGCCAAACTCTGTCGCATTCAATGCAATTTCTTCTTGCTTTTTACCGCATACACCTGTGGGCACTCACTGCCACGATCATAAGCGAAAGTTAAATTTATTATGCGAGAAAATAAAGTTCCATTACTGGCATCGGCGTAGAATTCACTTGTCAGTGAGTAATACTCGCCAGAAAGAAAACAACCGCTCGGGTGGATGAAATCCGGAAAAATGACGCATACTCGTGGCAAATTTACGAGGTAGCAGCGGGGCATAGTTGGCTTAGGACATTGGGTAACGGACAGAGGGAGGTAAAGGTGAGAGGGGAAGGTGAAGGTATTGCACGTAATGGTACTGCAATGGCACTGAGGAAAATTCTGCCAATAGACCAGTCCAGTTTGTCGGAAATTTTTCCACTCATGTAGGTACAGTCCCAGTTTTCTGAAGAAGCGTTGTGGAACGGTTTTTACCGTAAGTTAAGGTAGTTACCAAGCCCATCAGACAATCGCTATAGAGATCTCATATTAGTGATGTTGCTGGGTTAAGATAAGAGATATCGCAAGCTAAGATAAGATCAGATATATCACGCTAAGATCACATAAGTGTCAAAATCAGATATATCACAGGCTGAGATTAGTTATGTCGCAGATATCAAAATTTTGCACTTTTCCTGAAAAAAAAAGACGTATCTGCCTGAAAATCTGGAAAAATCCAGTTGCTCAAAAAGAATGGACAGTTGTTGACCAGTGTTCTGCCCGCTTTTTATAGTTTTTTTTTCCCGAACTTCGTCAATATTGATGGTGTTGTCGATGATGGTGATGATGATAGTGATGATGCTGACCAGTATGTTGCATAGAAATTCGAATTGTCTCCGGAATGGTTTTGAATCAAAATTTTTTCCATGTTTTTGTTCTCTAAATCAGTTTTCGAAAGTTTCCCGTTTTCATCCAGGTACCGTTCATTCATGCCGGCAAAACCGTAGGACTACGATAGATGGTAAGGAAAACCGGTGATAGAAATGGGAAAACCTGTCCTACCCAATTAGAGGTATAGTGCGGTAAAAATTGTGTCAATTAACAGAAATTTTATTCTGTAAATGCACAGACTAGAACTGCTTGAAGGAAAACCGATCCAGGAATAACGGAAAAATATAAACAAAATGGGTGTCAGTTTGGAACTCTTCTTTTTTCGGAGGTTGATCACACATCGTCAGAAATCATAACGCTTTCTCCCCGTTCCTCCATTCTTTCTCAGTGAAAAAGTAGACAACTGGAAGCAATTCAAGTGATAGCATTTTATTACACATTCGATTACTGGAAAAAAATGATCAGCCCTGAAGTCGTTCGAGGGTCCTGAAATCTTTCGGGAAAGAAATCGTTTGTTTGTGTGACATTTCGGAAACAAAATAAAGTTCTATTCTAAGATTTTTTGAGGGGAAATTGCGACTACAAAATTTTCGGGGAGAAAATTTTGATTTTGACTTTTTTTGGGGGAATGAAGAGATCCTTGGAGAGAAAAAAATTCGATTCTGAGGTCGTTCGGGAGAAAAAGCTTCGATTTCGAAGTTATTTGAAAGAAAAAAAATCGATTTGTAGATTCCTTGTCATATATCGTTGAACATTCGAATTTTTATTCGACATTGTGATGGCATAGTTTGCTAATTCTGGTTTTGTTTTCTTGTTGTTTTCTTTTTTTTTTTGCTTGTCCGATTGCATTGCCCGTTGGATAACGAATGTAATATAGCTTTAAATCTGTAGTGCTTTTGTGATTTGCAGCCTAGTGGATATCAGCTTTCGGCACAACAACAGCAACAAGCTCAGCGAGGGAGCAGCAGTGGAACTCATTCACCAAACCTCACTTGTTATGCAGCTGATGGTAAACGTAGTAGTAGCGCTTCTGCAGCTAGTGCTACATCAGCTGGTGCTGCTAATTCGGAGAAGCATGAACGTGGACAGCTTGTGGATTCCCATTCTAAGCTCAATGTAAGCTCAGCTCACACCGTTCTTCACAGATTCCACACACATGGATTGTGTACACTTTTGCGCCATTGCTCGCTCTGCTCGTCTTTTTTTTACGTCGATTTGCATTTTGTGTGCTTTTTGTAGCTCTTTGCGATTTATTAGTGAAGTTATGTTACAATTTTGTCAAAATGAAAAAGAGCTAATTTCGTCACAGATGAGTTTTTCATATATGTACTTTAGGTTTCAGTCTTTAATATTTCCAATATATTTCAGCATTATTAGCTGTTATTATTTGCTCCTGGAATAGCGTTAACTGTTCTCTTTAAATGCCTAAAAATAGCTCAGCGTTTGACAATAAGTGAATATTGACTTGAATCAAAAGTAATGATAAAGAGAGGGACTGTAGCGATTTTATCCTGAAACCGAAAGTGAAAATCACTCGAATTTTGAGGCCGTTTTTTTTTTTGATTTGTATGCATGAAGCATGGTTTTGTTGTCCAAAAAAAGTGATTTTCTGATTCCAGATGCTTTAGCACCGACCTTATCCAGCTAGAATTGTTATAACATAAAGTAAAACCCTCAGATCTCGCTGCATGTTTGCACTGCTGCACGTACTTGTGCATTTTTGTAGTGTATATTTTAAAAAAGAAAAAAATTAACATTTTAGTTAAAATTCGAAGGCGAATATCCAGTGCAAATTATTTCAAATAATTTATTTCGTTTTGTTACGATCACATACGTTTTTTCTGGTTTAATTTTTTGGTTAATTTTTTGAAAAAGCTGCAAAATCCAAAAAATAAAAGTTTTAACAAAAGCTAAAAGAAATTTGATTTGAAATGCGAATTTTCAATATTTTTCGATCTTAATAAGTGACTTGCTCGCTATACGCATAGCATTCTTTAGAAAGAATATGGTCGTTGAAAATTTAAAAATCTTTTTTTTTCACTCAAAAGAATTTATTATTTCTTGTAGTTCGATTTTTCTGCGTTGTCAAAAATGCATCGAATTTTGCTTATGCATGGCGCTACTTACGCCAGTTGCTTTTTGTTTTTGCTCGCCAAAAAGTTGTCGTGTGGTACGCTAATTCCCGCATGACTTATGCTTTTGTAACAAACAAATGCCGTGAATTTTCCTTATTAAGAGAAAAAAGAGCATTTAGTTACAGCTGAGCACAAATGATTTTTTATGCAATTAATTCGTAACAGTCCTACATATGTTTTTTTTCCTCAAAAACATCTGGTCAAAATTCACTAGTTCTGCCAGTTATAGAACTGATAACAGAT